TGTTGCGATAAATGAGCTGGTTCAATTAAAGCTTCATCAGAAAAAATTTCATGGAATCCTCAAAGTTTTGTGACTCAGCAACTGCTTAAACAATGAGTGCATCACACCATGAAACTTGCAGTGACATTTTAACCAAATGGTCATTCCATGAACTGTGGTATTGCTTTCAATGAAATACTATGGGTTTGTCCTGAGATAATTAATACCTCTAATTAATAATTCATAATCTTGCTTTATCTTGATTAGCTGAAGTGGAGAAGTGGATTGCCATATGACTGATGAGAAATGGCTCTAAAGAAACAGTCACCATCATGCGATAAAAAACGACATACCAAAATGTACCTAATAAGCTTCATAGAAAATTTCCACGCAACCACGAGGGCACGACATCGCCCAACGAAAAACTTGATAGACGATGACAAAGGAAACGAACTACAATTAATGACGCAGAGAATACGAAAACTGAGAAAGCTAAGTGAAATTGAATCAAACCGCAAAATCATAGCCCAACTGTAACGCACAGTCACGCAATTACACCCTTACATCTGTTTAGTAATCTTACATTTCAGAACTTATAGTCGGCTGCAAAGCTGTACAACCAAGAAGATTTAGCAACAGCTTTCCTTACAAACACCTTTAATTTGCATCTAGCTATTCTTTTCTTTGTGGTCCTGAAACCTTGTTCATCGGCATTCTGGACGGCCCTCGGTTTCTAAGTCAATTTATTCTTTTATCTGTTTTGAACTGCCTGTCATTTTCACTCCTTCGTGAAGAGAGCAAGAAACCCAACTCCTTCAAACTTTGAGTAATAGACGCTTATATTTTCATGAGCACAACTACTTTTAAAATTATTTTGTCGATCAGAATATGCCGTAGCTTTCTCTGATAATTCGTTACTCAAAGAAATTCTCAGTTTAATGACAGCAGATTCGCCAGCTGGCGTGGGTTTGTCGAGGCACTTGGTCGAAAACCACACGGATTGAACCACAGGCTGCCCAAGCTCTCTTTGAGAAGCACACAAAGAACACAATTTGCATATTTATGAGGATTTGTATGGGATTTTCTACAAGAAATCCACAGAGATAGTTAAAAGTGAAAATATTAAATAAAAATGGCTTACCTTGTTCCATACGTGTGTTGTTTGCTCCTGGTGTCATTATTTTACCGATTTCACCTGATTTAAGCGGTTTTTTTTAATCCTGGTCTTCTCTTTATAGTAGAAAACCAGGATTAAGAAAAACCGCTTAAATCAAGTGAAATCGGTAAAATAATGACACCAGGAGCAAACAACACACGTATGGAACAAGGTAAGCCATTTTTATTTAATATTTTCACTTTTAACTATCTCTATGGATATCTTGAAGAAAATCCCATACAAATCCTTATAACTATGCAAATTGTGTTCCTTGTGCGGTTCTCAAAGAGAGCTTGGGCCGCCTGTGATTGAGCCATTCGTCGTTTTCTTTTCGTTTCCTAACTTAATTGGTCCCGACTATTCTTCGCTCTGTTTATTCTTGAATGAGATTCGTCGTAGTCTTTTCTTTGTCGACTCCTCGCGATTATAAATCGATTGGTTGCACATTCTTTTGTTAACAATAGTATACTCCGGCGGTGTGCGCACTCCGATTGCATTGCATTGTGGTAGCGTTATTTTCATTAGGGCGGTACAAGCGGTAGATATCGGTAGATTTTCACTGAACATTCCCCAAGAGTCAGACCATTTCTTTTTCCTTTAACTATAGGTAAGTATAATTGGATATATTCTGAATGTGTAGATGTATTTTTCGTACGTACTGTTTGTAACTGACACTCCGTCACAGTTTGAAATACGTACCTTTTTTAATCTCCACGATTCACATGTACATAGCACAAAAAAATACAGAATTAATAATGCGAACTTAAACCCAACGAAGCTAAAATACAACGAATGGAATACGAAAAACCACAGGAAAATACAAACGAAAGCGTAACTACTTACAAGATCTGTACGGCACTCCGGAATAACAACGACTGAATGAAAATTACAACTACGATGTTATAGAGCGGATAAAGGCTAAAACAATAGACTAAACAAGGCTCCACAACACTC